GGAAACACATTCAATACAAACATGAATTTATCAATCACAAGGGGCTTTTAGGCGCACCGGCTGTTGTACTTAGAAGGCATTTAGAACTCTCTTTTCAGCTGCATACACACATGCATACATATTTACACATTTATGTTTAAAATGAGTCAGATATTGCAAAATATTTGCTAGTAAAATATGTCAAAATTCATTACGCATACCACAAAACACATTTTACAGACATGTTGGTATGTTTGCACAAGCTGAAGCCGATTCTTTGAGCCATCGGTGCAATTTTATCCAAAAAACACACAACCACCCATGCCATGGTTGGTGCCATTAAGAAAACATCGAAAATTCCCAAACTTTGCTAATACTGTGTGAATATTTGAATTGTTCAGCAGACTGCTGAGAAAATGTTTGACAGCTTGAGTGCAGTAAAAAAATTGCACATATGACAAGCATACAACACATGTTTATATATTTTAAATGCTTTTAGGCAAATCAGTAAATGTATGTATGTATGTGTTTTTGAAAATGCGGCAGTATTAGGTATTTGTATTCATACACACATCCATACAAAGTATGCATACATACGTGAATGTACTTACGTTCGCATAATAAAAATTGCATTCACACATGAAGTCACATTAGCAATTATGCTCCCAAAATAAACCAGTAGATATATGCACTTTTATTTACATATTTACGCTGCATGCATTGAAGTGCAGCAGTCCGAAAAAACCGCAAGCACAGCAGGCGAAACCACATATTGAGCTTTAAACAGACAAATAACTGTTGGCACCGACTCACAGTGGAAAATTATCGACTAACTTTGTTCAAAAATTGCAGAGAGAGAAAATTTTTGCCGAATTCCATTATTTATTTTTAAAATACTTTGAACGGATTTTACAAAGGATTGTCTCGGCCCAAATTAAAGAAGGAGTTTTTATCAGCAATTGGTGAAATTTTTGACTTGGTGAAAAAATTAAAGATGGATGGTTGAGATTTTAAATGTAGTTTTGGATAGCAGCCGCCTTATTGGAACTGCCATACTCGATCAGCCATTGCGAATTAAAAACATTTTTACCACCTTCAAGATCATAAATTTGTCACCAATAAATATATTACTTTTTTTAATTTTTAAACTTTCACCAAATGCTGATTAAAACTCTTTCTCTAATTCCTACGCTTAGATCATTGAAAGAGTTTAAATAGGTTTCGAGTTCTATAATTTCAAATTATCGCTCATTAAATTTTTTAAACAACTGCGTATTACGTACATATAAATAATTGTTGCAAATATAGTTAGTTCTATGTAGTCTGTAGGAAACTTTGTATTTCTAGATTACTAAATGAATAAATAAATAAATTTATGATTTATGAATTTATGATTAATTCGGGCCTAGACAATCTTTTATAAAATCCGCTCCAAGTACTTTAAAAGTAAATAATTAAACTCGGTTAAAAATTTATCCTCACAGTTTTTTTTTGAGCAACATCAGTCGATGATTTACCACAGTGCGACGCCTAGAAAATGGCTAAATGAAAATTTAGAATACATACATATCTATACACGGTGAAAAGCTACGCAACCCGTTTCATGGAATACAAATTTCTGATTGAATTTAAATCCTTGAGATAGGCTTTTAATGGGCTGCACTTGTACCTTCATTCTAGAAAAGTTTTAAGCAAAAAGCTTGTGCTATGTTTATACATATTTCTTACAATTTCCACTGACTCACCCATGAAAGGAAGTTTGCTATCTCTTCTACTGTTGCCTCTTAAATGAAATGCAGAATTAAGCCGAAAATTATTGATGCTGGCGGCTAAAGTTTGACGGTGGGCTTATACTACACCTGTGTTTTTTTGTTCCACGGATGCCCCTATCCAATTCCTACATAGAATCGTCTACTGATTCCGAAAATCGAGTTAATTTTTCATTTCAAACTTTAAAATAGGGGAAAAATTTAAAAAATAATAGATTCTGTGTTAATTTTTTTTTTTTAATTTGCATTAAAACCTGTTCTGTTAGAAAAAAAAAATTGCACTAGGATTTTTTGTATGAACAATTTACCAAGAAAGAATGTTACTCATACGCCATGTACACTCTTGCCTGTTCATTTTTCATACAAAAAATCCTTGCGCATTTCCATTTGACCCCAAATAAAAAAGTACACAGAAACTGTTATTTTTCAATATTTTCCCAGTTAAATTTGTATTTTTCTTCTTTTTTTACCAAGAAACAAAAAATCAGGAATCTTTTGTACATATCGTCATTTCAAGTACAAAACCGCGTACCAAGAAAATTCTTAATCTCGTTATGTGAGGTTGCCAAGATTTTGTAAGTGAGTGTAAAGCTAGTCCTATATCAAAACGGTTGTCTCTTTTAACCCCTATTATCTCTTCTTAAATATGTCTATGAATCGATATTTTAGTATAAATGGATAAGAGCTTGATGCCAGAAGCAAATATCTGTTTTGGCACAAATGTCAGTTACGAGGTTTTGCAGAACGACGATACGCGGTTTTGTACTTTATACGACGATATGTATAAAAAAACATTAATATGGCGGTCTTTATTAGAGCAACAGAAGCCATATCAACACTTTTTAGACTTTATGGCCGTCTGTATGCCTGTATGTTTGTACGCGCATCACTCAAAAACTAATGGATGGAATTAAATGCGGTTACCACCGATGTATTGCTAAAGGTCTAACTTGAAATATAGAAGGAAGAAATAGAGAGTTGCCACTTGTTGGAAATTGCAGTTTAAGTAAATTAATAAGATAAAGTATATATTGCAATATGGCTGTCAAAAGAAAGGCATGCGCCCAAAATATTTTTGTTGAAGGTTGCCACCTGTTTAAAAATTTTAATTTTATTTAATTGGTAGGATAAATTGAATATTGAAATATGGGTATAAAGAGCACTAAAATACTTTTAAAGCGCAGTGAGGCACGCTAGTAATTAATGAGTTACTAAGAAACTATGAGGCTTACCTCAACGTTTATGGATAATTTTGCTAGCTTTCATTTGCCATTTGCGAAGAAGTATTTAAAGGAAACATTTTATATATTGAAAAATCTTGCATATGGGTTGAACGGACTTCAATATGCAAATTTAGATCGACTAATCTTAATAAAGTAGAATTTTGATCGTGGTACAACCGTTCAGTGGATCAAAGTAGGAATGAATTTCCCGGGAAGAAAATTTTCCACCCCGTTAGCATGTGGACCTCCAAATGTTCGACTGAGGTTGGGGAGTATTTACTCCACGTTAATGGTAAGTATTCATTCTCATGAGAGCGAATTTCTATTCTCATGACAATTATTCTCATCTAGTGCCAGAATCATTATTTTGAAGCAATTACAAATTTCCAACACCTCTAATTAAAATTGCATGGTGTTAATGGAAGTGAATTCCTATTCTCATGAGAGTTATTCTCATCGTTTACCAGAAGCTTAAGCCCTGAAGTGCTGGTCCTCAGGGTATTTGAGGTGCCATATCAATAAAGTCACCGACGGACTTCCAGAAGGGATTAGAGCTATTATGTAGTCTTAGCAATCCATACACGAGTACCAAATATAATTTTTCTAAGTGCTAATTGAAGCAATCCACTTTAGGTTGTATGTATATGTAATTTAACCTTATCAGCTGAGTCTAAATAGTCAAACAGATTCTTAAAATCTATGACATCCAGAGGTTACAAATTGACAACAAAACCTCCGTTGCATGTGACACAATTGCATTCTTTTCTACCCACAGTCGAATTTGCTGATACGCCCTGCCATACACGCACATATTCACGCATACATCTGAAGCTACATATGTACAAAATATACCCGAAATAGTATGGCATCCCTTGGATTTATGCACAGTTGTGTATTTACTTTGGCGCTAAGCTGCAGCAGCTGTTCTTGACTGACCTGCAGTGCGTAGGTATGTGTTGGGTCAGAGCAGACGAAGGACAACTGTCGAGTGTCTTGCAATGCAAAAGCCTACATTTAATATGCAGGAAATTTTCATTAGTAACAAATGCAGCAGTATGAGGCGCAATAGCGTAGACGGCCTAAGGGCCAACGACGATGAAGGTTACACCGACGACGACGACGACGGCGACGGCGACGATGTGGTTGCAACCACAATATTTGACTACACATATGCGCATACATATGGACATATGTAACTAGCTGTGTATGTATGCGTTAAAACATGTTTTTGTGTGTGTACTTGCAATGTGCATATGTCCAATGCCGATGGCCAAATCTCGAAGGATATTTAAACCACAATTGAATTTCTTTTGCGAAAATTACTTTAGGGATCCAAGCATTCGGTCCAGCTGTTGGCCGAACAAACTGTCGCCTCATTTGTGGCTTGGTTACATGCCAATGCCTTAGGCTACGCCCACAAACATCGATTTTGTGCCTTGACAGAGAGTAGCATTTGTGCACATCCAGGCCGGCCGAAGCTGTGCCAAGGACAATAGAATGCAATACAAGGCTAGCTGGCTGTCGTCATTGAGGTTTCGATGAGGCAGATAAAATTTCTATTTTGCCAATTGTCAGCAAAATGTTTTGTGTACGAATAAAGATAGGCCTCTTACTTATGCACATTCACATACAAATTTAATATATATACCTATTCTGATATGTACACGTATGTATATTTATGAGCGTATAAAATAAATTGTATGGATCAATATGTACACACCAGCCCAAAACGATTTGCTTAGGATAGTAGGAGTGGAGCATCCAATCATTTATTTATTTTTTGTAAATGCGTAGGTGTTTAAATAAAACCATTGCATTTTATTCATTTGTGTAAAATTATGCAGCAGCCTAGAATATTCCATGTTTGCAGCAGTACATACAGATGTAGATAACCTTTGTTATCCTGCAACTGCATTTTCCTAACATCTGTTTTCCAATTATTTTTGAATTTCACATTTCTATGGAATTCACTATTAATAAAACATTGGAACTTACATAAGAAAAGAACAGGTTTCGAAAAGATGTTAGCTTTTATATGTTCGTAATGGATTTACTAAACGGTACAACGGACTCTTATGTACGTGTGTTATTAAGTTACCAAAGCCAAACGGAAAGAGAAAACACTTAGTGGCGGTGCAAAGTCGCTACACAAAAGCTTTATTTAGGAAACTTTCAGCTCATTCAAACCAAAGTTGCTAGCAAAGGTGGGCTACATAGGCATAGTACTTACTAGTAGCCGGTGTCCATGACCCCAGCGGGGCTTAAGCGTGGCTTTCGAAAAGTGCCCAGCATCACTAAGATAACTTCGAGACAACCGTCCTATTAGTGTTAGACTAATCGAAGGCTTTCGACACCGTTTGTGACTACACGCCACTATATAAGCATAGACAGACGGTAGCCTTGATCCGGATCAACTCGTTAATACGGAGTTATCTCGGGAATTAACTGCTTTAAGTCATGGAGTTAATTCCCACATTTAATTCGGATCAAGGAAATTTTCGATGACAACACGGACCAAAACTCAGAGAGCGTAGAATACAGAAAATATGAAAAACTAGTATGGACATATATTTCTTTTCATCGGTAATGCAGTCACCAAACTAATTCAAATAAGAATCCAATTTAGATTGAATAAGAAGTTATTTAGGTAACTGCATTACCGATGACCGGGTGGTCCATGCTGGTTTTCAGTTTCTTTGTGTTCTACGCTCCCTCAGCAAACAAATACGCAAATAAAGCACCCTAGTCATTCACCTGCGGTAGACGAGTGGTGAAAGCTGCATACTACAAGCCTGTAGGTCCCAGGTTCGATCCTCGGTTGGAGCGATGGCAAAAAAAAAATTGTTTTTATTTTTTCTTTTATTATTATTATTTTTTTTTATATATCTAGTTTTACTTTATTTTATTTACGTTTATTTTAAATTATTTCCCTTTTTTATTTTATTATTACTTTATTTAAATTTTTAGAGTTTGATTTTACTAAAAATGTCAAAAATTACTAACTAAAAACAACACTAAAAAAATATAGAATTTATAATTGAATGTATAAAAAAATGCAATGAATATTCTACTGGTCGTGGGACTCGAACCTACGATCTCGCCACTTCAGATCAATTGCGCCTTTAATACGGATCAACAATGCCGTCTGTCTATGCTTTAAGACATTAAAGCCATCTCTTCTCAAAAGGAACTCAAACGGTAGACGTGCACAAACCACACGAAAGAGTGAACATGATTTCATATTCTGTCGCTTATTACTTTTAATAACCTGTTATTTTTCGCCGCCCACGCAAACGACGTTGCCCATCAAGAACCGAGCCGCAACAAGGAACAGACAATGAAACCTTATTGGCGACATGAAAAACGATTGGACGGCCAGTTCTGCCACCGGTGATTAGTAAAACGCTAATTAATTATTTGGAAAGCGGCTTCTTTCTCCAGTGAATACCATGAAAGAGCTCCAACTATCTAACAGTCTCGCGTTACTCTGACACGTAGTGTAGCAAGTTAAATTCTCTTTTATCCAGAGTCAGTCCTGACTTAGAAGCCCTAAACACGTCTTCACATCCCATCAACTGACACTCCTCTCCTTTTGGACCGACCCCGTCAAAGGAACACGTTTCTTGGGCTTGCCGTTAGCTGAACTTAAGACAACAATAAATCCAAGATTCAGTATGCCTTTTGAAGCTTTTAAGCGATAAGAAAAAAATTAATCAAAATGGCTAAAAAAATAAACAATCTTAAAGAAACTAAACTATAATATCCCAGTAAACATTTCTTTTTTCAAAACATTAAGTACTGGATGTCAAACTCCACTAACTTGCCTGTATGTATTTATGTATGCATATGTGTATATAACCGTAACTTCTTGGGAGTGACGTTTATTATGCATATGTATAACAAACTCGAATTTCAACTTTTACGAATCTCCTATTAAATATTTTGTAGAAAGTACG